GCCGTGGAAGGCCAAGGTGAGTGTGCCAACAGCATCTGCAACACCAAGGCTGTTCACAGGCACGGCCAGCCTGTGAGCCAGGGGGAAATGATGCCTGGACCTGGCTCCATATGTGGGAGGAGACGAGGGCAGGGAAAGGGAGGATTTGTGGAAGATGAGAGGGCTGAATAAGTGTGGCAATGGAGAGAAGGAGCAATCAAAGAGCCAGCTGCAGAGACACAAACTGCAGCTTGCTGTGCTGGTTTGCTTGAGGGTCACCACAGGAAGGGAGAGAAACTCTTTTGCCCTTAATTTCCCACAGCACAATGGCATGGACCATGGCCTGTGGCTTAGAGCAGGAGCATCCTCCTCTGTGTACAGCATTCAATTGCTGTATGTCACTGGCCACCCTGGCATGAGGGTGCCACAAGTGCCCTCATTATATCGAGCCCAAAACAGCAACAGAACTCCCCAGCAGCAAGGGTATGGAGCCTGCCAGAGGACATTTCTGTGGTGATGGCATCAGCACAAACTGTGCTGCACCTGCATTTCACTGCACTTCTGCAGCAAGAATGATGCAGCTAGGGCACTTCACTGCTCACCCACTGTGGCTGTGACTGGATTGGCTCCTGATCCAAGCACACACATGCTTCCTGAAGGAGCCCTGTTCCAGAGTGATTCTGTTTTGTGAAGAATCTTGTGGGGAAAAAGACTGCAGAGAGCAGGGTACCAGTGAAATTCCCCAGGGGCTGCACAGCCTCATCCTGCAAGAAGAGGGGCCTAAAGAAAGCAGCAGAGGGCAGGTTCTTACAAGGGCAGGTTCTGATAGAACAAGGGGCAATGGCTTTACAGTGACAGAGGGCAGCTTCAGCTGGGATAATACGAAGGAAATCTTGATTGTAAGGGTACTGAGGCGCTGGCATGGGTTGCCCAGAGCAGCTGTGGATTCCCCATCCCTCAAAGATTACAATTACAGGTTTTGAGCCAGGCTCTGAGTAACTGGGTCTAGTGCAAGATATTCCTGCCTATAGGAACTGGATGATCCTTAAGATCCCTTCCAATGCAAACCATGATTCTAAGATCTGTGGAGTGACATTGAGCAAAACTCTGCCTTCTTCAGCAGCACTTGTGAACTCCAGCTGTCATTCATTAATGAATGAGTGTGAATAAACTGTCATATGCAGAAATCCACATTTGGTATTGGATAATAGGTAAAAATTAAACCAGCAATTTAGTAACAGTTACAACAGACGCATCTACACCATAATGTCAAATTGATACAATCATCTTATAAAACACATGCATGACTGCCTTCTGAGTAATGTGGCTAGTACTCATGGGGAGAGAGCAAACACTGTATACAAAGTATAAATATATATCTAAAATATAAAAATAGCTGTCACAAAGTATTCTCTCTCGGGGTATCTGTGACAGATTTAGCTGGCAAGGCATCGAATTCTTTGTTGCGAGCTCCTGCATGAGCACCAGGCAGAATGGGGGCAGGACTAGGAGCATGAGGATTCCTTACTACTGGCACAGACAGTTTATGAGGTTCAGTAAAGGTTGTATTTGGAGAACAGAGGATGAAAATATGCACCTGATAGTTATCTTTTCCTATATGTTGCACTTCTTGCATATAGAAAAAGAATTCTAAACCTTTATTTTGGAGAAAAAACAGCATACTGGAGAAATTACTTCTATTTTGTATCTAGACAGAGTATTCTGACTCACAGCAAAGGCAAGAGAGAGGTGAAGATGGGATGGGCCAGACGACATATCTCATCTGATCATTCTGAGCTGGATTAAGTCTGGATTTAAGTAACCTTTTCTCCTCTCTACATACTTAGGACCACTGCAGGCTTCTCCAGCTGAAATTAATCTACAACAAACAGCCTGCAAGGCTTAACAAAATTCTGGCTGCACCTTGTTCCAAATTCATTCTTTGCAGCTTGAGGTAATGTGGAAGGCATGAAGGCTAGTGTCGCAATCTGACTATTCTTGAGATTTTCACAAAGCCATCTGGAGTGTTTACTATCCTGGCCTTCAGTTACAAGAATATTTTAACCCAATCTCCAGGTAACCTGAATCCTAAAGTCATCTTACAGGTTTTTGAAGTAATAAGATTTTTAAGATCATCTGGATCTTTTAAAATCATTGAATATTTGTTATTAATGCTATTCTCTCAGAGCCCTATCATTTGCTTTTCTTGATTTTCACTCAAGGATGTGATGTAAACAGAGTTTTACCAGAGAGACAAGGTACATTCCCATGTACACATATTTATAGAGGATGGTAAAAGCCCACAGCCTTTTTACTTCTTACAGTTTTCTCTGCATTTTTGGAAGTCTGTCTGGGGAGAGATCCATACCATAAATTGCTCATATCTGTCATGAAATACCAGACCTCCTGGTTTGAGATTGCAACACTTAGTCCCCTAAATTCTGTGTAATAAAGTTACACACATTCCTCCTTGATACATTTCAGGCTTATGTGAAGTTGTGAGTGTTGGGATTTGAGTAGTTGTAAACCATGCCTAATGCTTAATAAAGGAATGATTTTAGATCACCCATACATGCACCCAGAACATACCAGACTTGTGCATACTTGATTCCTATTGTGTGCTGAAACAGGATTTTTTATTTGAAAAGCCATTTCTAGTAATGAAAGCAAATCCTGCTGCTCTGACATTTCTGCCAGTGTGTAGCAGTAGGATGTGCAGCAATGAAGCCTAGAGGGAAACAACCTGTCTTGTTCCTGTTTTCACTCACCTTGGTGGATTAGACTTCCAGGCTGGCATCCCTGTCTGTCCTTATCCCTGCACACAAGGGGGAGATGTTGCTAAGCAGTTGTAGACCATGCAAACCACAGCCTGGTTTGAAAATGAAGAATTAACTAGATTAGTTTTGATGAAGACAAGGTACAGCTGAAGAACAGGCAGGAGAAAGGAAAAAAGTAAAATAAAAGGCAGCTGTAATTTGCACTAGAGAATAGAGGGTGTCCAAACAGAAGAGGGAATTTTGAAAGGAAAGAGGAAATGATGTGTGTGGACTAAATGGAAGAAGTACATAAAGAATGAGATGTTCTTCAGGACAAGTGCTGTCTCTATGCTTATATATCACCTAACACTGCAAAGCTCCAATCCAGGGGTCTTCAAGGAAAATACCAGAAACAAAGTGAACAAAAAGTGCTACCACCAAAGCTTTCACCTCAGCCTCTCACCAGTCCTGACTTAAACACAGCCTCACAGCCACCTTTAGTGGGAGATAAAGAACATGGAAGGAAATGGGCTGGAAATTGTTAGTTCAGCTTTTTGTCCTGGGAAATTTTTATCTCCATTGACTTCTTAAGTCATGCTGGTTTGAGAGATGTCAAGGTTGCAGCTGCCTCGGGTGGCTGTGTAGTGACTGAGGACTCACTGTATATTT